CTCAACTTCCCCAGATGGTGGAGTGGATCCTAATATCCGCCAGTCAGAGGGCTTCTCTCGGATTTGTCCCCACGTGTGGGTGTGAAAAGGTCAGAAGAAGCACCTGGAGCTTTATGCTCTATCCTTGCAGCCTAAATACCAATTAGGCCATTTCCACTTAGGGCTCTTTTTTCTAAAGGTTCGTATTCCAGCCTTTCAGAGCTGCTTCTCCCCACCTCTAAGTCCAGGTTGCCCGTCTGCCTGTACGTTCTGAAGGGCCATTCATACCAATGCAGTCCCTTCTACTCAGTGAGGATATTTCTGCTGCTTATAACACACAAGAAAAAATTTGACTGACACATGAAGGTCATCCCTGACCACCTGTGTGACCTTGAGAAAAATCACCTCCTGTCATAGGGCACTAGTTTTCACCTCCAAATGATAGGCTAGTCCCAAAGTGTCTTCTTTTCTCAGTGAGGACGGAGGTTTTGATCACTTACAGATTGACTGTTTTGGTACCAAGGAGGTTCAAATGAACATCAAAGTCTGGATGCGGGTCCATTAGGAAAGCTAATTTAGAAATGGGGTGCCCTTCAGGACAGCCAGGTCTAGGTGGATACTGAGACCCTCTTGACTTTGGGTGGTACCACAGTACAAGGTTTCCAGGAGCAAACATGCACTAGTTGATGCCTTCCTGTCTTAATTGCAACACGGTCATTTCATCCCTGTTTGATTGTAACCGTCTGAATTACACCTGTGAGACAGGTCTCAGGGAGCATGAGCTGTCTGGAACTTCTGTGTCAAAGAGTTGTAAAAACTCAGTGTGGAAGGGGAGAGTTGCTCTGTAAAGCCAAGAGTCTGCACCTTCAAGGAAAAAAATATTTTGTTAAAACAGCAGAGTGGCCTCAGTCTGGCCTTATGTTCTAGAAAAAGCTTACTGCTTAGCTACATTTAATAATCCATGAAACATTTCTATTAGCTTTGGTGTGAACTGCGCGATTGCAGGGGTAAAAACAAAGTGAGAAGCAGAAATACAAAAATATGTAAAAAATGAAAATAAGTGAGATCTTAAATATTTGATCAAGGCCTCTATTTTCAGGTAACCAGTTAACATCATGGGGTCTCAAACACCAGCAGGCGCCATAGAACACCATGCTGAATTATTCAAATGACCGGGGGAACCTTGCCCCCCCTTTACTATGTTTAAATGAGTATGCAGCCTTCCAAGCTAACCTTTACTTAAATATTTAACACAGACACTGGGTCAAATGTAATATGGCAAAATTTCTCACTCAAAAACTCAAGCTGTAATTATGAGTCAGATTATGGGATGCCGTTTCAGCCTCTTCCTCTTCCCCTCTGTGCTCCAACAATTTCTCGTAGTGTGAAACGAACCTAGTTTACATTAGCTGAATTTTAGAATGACTTTTATTTTGTGTTTATGCTTATCTGAAATGTTTTATTTCATTCACTCAGTCCTTCATTCATTCAACACATACTTTTGGAATATGTGCTGAGTCCCAGGCATTGTCCTAGATGTGGGGGAATGTATGGGGAAATATTCAGACCCTCCTGACTGTATGCTAAAGTATAGAATAAAACATAGAAATGTGCTTCAAAGACAGGTAAAAGAATAATACTGTGGAAGGGGTAGTGTATGTGAGGTTTCCCTGTTGTGAGGGCAGCCTGATTGAATGGAAAGCTAAGGAGTTGGGCAGGTGGTCTGCAGAGTGGCATATCCCACCAGTGAACAGGAAATGCTGTGCCGGCCAGAGTGCCTGTATCAGTGACTCTTTTCAACGTGACTGTGACTCACACCTGACGTGGACAATTTAAGGGAGAAAAGATCCACTTTGGCTCATGGCTCAGAGGGTTGAGGCCAGTGTGTGTGTTGGGGGGAGACATGGTGGCCAAAGCAGATTGTGGTGGGGGCTTGGGGTATGGCTTTGTTCATAGCTTGTCAGATCAAGAAAACAGAGAGAGGCTCAGAAGCCAGTTACTCTAACAGTCAATGCCTGCCCCGGTGGTGTGGTCTATGTCTGCCGGTTAAGCACCATGTTCTAAAATGTGCACAGCCTACCAAAAAGGCACAAAGTAGGGATCAAGCACCCAAAAACACCTGCATGGGGGACATTTCCTAGTAAAACTCCCCCCAGTGTCAGAGGAAGCACAGCAAAACCAAGGAGAATGAAGGTGAGGAAGGGCCAGTGTGCAGGGCATCATTTGAGTGTCTTGTGGGTCATGAGGGAGACTTGTGATCTTAGCCCAATTGTGATGAAAGCCAGTAAGGCTTCTGTGTGGTGTGGCCTGATTCAGGGTTTGAAAGGATTAGTCTTGCTCACATAGAGGCTTTCTAGTGGAGGCCTGCTTCAATAGCCATGAAGAAAAGACTTGGCATGAATGTTACCTGTCTGGTCTTTGGTTCTAAGACGGTACCCTCCTTCTGAAGCACTTGCAGTGGTTGAAAAGCCTGCCATCTTTAGTCATTTTAAAAGTCTACCAATATTCTTTCACACATCCTTTTTTTTATTCAACCAAAGCTGGCTCTTTCTGAATGAGGGCTTAGAAAACAAGTTAAGAAGGGTTCATCCAAGTGTGGATGTTGGTCAGTCAATGGTCCTATGCACAGTTCTTCTGAGGACCAGTTCTTCAGAAGGTCCTCAGAACACAGCCTAAGACCATCACTGTCAGCTAGCTATACACTAATGGCTGCCCAAAGAACTCCAACGGAGGGAGACAGCCTCAGAGCCTCTTGGGTGACAGAAGACAAAAATGGGGCAGTGTTACACAAGTGTTGCTCTCATGTTGGTAATCAGAATTTTATACCTAGAAAAAATTTTGAATTATCAGCTTGTTTTTATTCCTTGGGGACCTACCTCCTGCAGATCCCCTTGGGTGGGATAACCCCAAGCCCTGTTCTGCATACTGCTTTCTAGAACATTCCTTCAAGATTACACTTCTAATCACCTGTTAAACAGGAGTGGTAGCTTGACAGTGCCTCCTCACTGAGCATTTCCCCTACCCTTTATACCATCCTCCTTAGCTGTATTCTTATTATATCTCATGAATAAACTACTTCCATTCAACTACTTGTACTCTGTGTATGAGAGACCCAGACAGACACTTCTCCATCAAATCCCTGCCTTTTCTGGGATGTCATTTCCTAGACTTCCTCCTTTAGTGAACAGAGTGGTAGAGAAATTAAATTTACCCAGAAGCTCCCATTATACTTATGATCTAGCAGCCAGCTGTGACCACAGTCAAGGGACCCACTTATTCCCCTTTAGAATGCCCAGACTGGATTTCTCAGGCCTGCCTCTCCCCACTTCGTCTGCTAAAGCCTGGCTGTTACGTGAGGGTCTCACTGCCTTCCAAGAGCACACACTACTTCTTGTCCAAGGAAACCAGCATCCTCCTCAGCCAGGCCCTAGTCTTCACCGGCACAGGTTAGAATGCTTGTTCTGTGGGAGTCATTGTTCAAACTCTCTTCTGTCTAGTCTCTGCCTCCCCAGCCCCAGGTCCTGACTCAGAAAAACTTGGCCTTTGATTAATTTATGGGAGTGAACCAACCTGTAGTACCATATGCTACATACATTCACAAAAGTCTCCAAGCTTGGGATAAACCACCTACTCTGCTGGCACACAAACTGACATCAGTGAGAGACTAGCGAAAGGACGCTACACACTCAGCTATTAAGCCACTTAAACCTCCAAATCCAGTGTGTTGGGGGTTTTTTCCTGCTGATTTTAGGGAAAACCGGAACTGGAGTAGGTAAAGCTGCTTGCTCGGGGTCACCTTATGGAGACAGATTGTACCCTAAGTCCTGAGAATGGACCCAGAGGGCATGCAGTCTACTACCTGAGTGGGGAGGTACCCTTTTCCTGGGTACTAGTGGGGGCTACCTGTGTGCCCACGTATTGATTAAAGACAAAGGTGTGGCCCTTCCTAAGAGTGTGGGAAGACTGTAAGGGGCTGGAGACAGCAACGGGGTCCAGTGTCAGCTTCATGGAGCACTCCCCACACCCGGGAGTCCATTTGTCACTGGTTAGGAAGAGCGACAGATTAAACGTTCAGCAGTCACAGAGCCTTGACATCATCCTCCATGGCATTATAATTATTATTTTTTGCATGCTCCATAAGCATTGACAGATGCAGGTGAACTTGGTCTTAAAGACTCCTCCCCACAAGATCCTTGTGTTAGGCAGTTATGGAGGGCTATGGGGAGGCTGAAAAGCTACACACTGTATTAGCAAAGCAAATGAGGGTCCTAAATTATACAAAGGCCTCAGGGAGTAAGACCCGATCTCTAAGGATTTGGTTGCAATTTCTTAGTATGAATGAATATACTCAGTAGAAAGCCCTAATTGTATTTTCTTTCTAAAATAGCTCTCATTTCCCCATCCCCCAAACTGTGTGAGCTTAAGGACCCCATCCCCCTCAACCTTCATCCTCACCAGGGCAGAGCTGGAGAACAGAGGTATAAACGTGTCAGAAGAGGGAGACAAGGGCACAGGAAGAGCGTAAATCCTCATCTAACACGGCAGAAAGTCAATAGATAAATCAAGAAATCGCTACGGAAGCTTTTGTTTTCTTTTCTTTCTTTCTTTCTTTTTTTTTTTAGCGACGAGAAGTGACCGTGAAAATTAAGAAGGGACTGATGAAAAAGGGCTGTAGGTGGAACAGAGCAAGTGAGGTTTGGGGCTTTCATAAGTAAAGAAGTGTTCATACATTGCTTGACATACTTTTAATTCACACTTCAAAAAAAAGTGAGTAAAGTTATCTAAAAAAATAAACGGAACACAAAACCGAAAAATAAAAACAAACTCGAAGCAGTAACGGTCAACGGTACTGGGCACCTGAAGAGAAGGGGAGGGGCACTGGGCGTGGTCGTGGGCCGGTGAGAGGGGCGGGGCTCCGTTGGACCCACCCTCAGGGAGGGGGCAAGGTTCGGAGCCTACCCCTCGCGCTCCGCCCACAGCAGGAAGCGGGGAGCTCAAGGTCAAGTTCCCGCTAGGCCCCGCCCCCAGCCTGGGTCAAGGCGAATAACCTGATCCCCTCCCTGGCTGAGCAGCAGGTCGGTGGTCCCTGTTGGTCCCCGAGAATCTCCTGGTGCCGCCGCGGAGCGAAGCGACGCGCAGGTAAGCACAACGGTCTTGGAGGCCTGCTTTTGCCCGCCTGGGTGCCCACGAGGTCCTGGATCCCGCGTTCCTCCCGCGCCCACGTGACGTGCGGCGGCAGCGACTCGGGAGCGCACGCGCACAAGTGCGTCAGGTAGCTGTCGAGCGCAGAACTGTGCCTGCCGCAGTTTCGTTTCTGACCGACGGTATAAGCGTGACACGGGTTCGGATCCCTCCTGCAGCATGTGTACCGTCAGTTAAAAATAAGCGTGCAACAATTACAGTGTGTTATGCGGTATTCTCCTTCCATTGGCTTAAGGAGCGTGCCACCCCGCCGAGCTCAGACTAGAGGGGAGACCTACAGCAAAGATAAACCACATACGTTAAAGTGTGGAAGTTCAAGTTAGTGCGAACTGTGCAGATGAAAAGCCCAGAGTGCTGGAGAGGTTTTATCAAGTTCCCCGCCTGCAGACCCTGTCGAGTTAAAGCTGCGTGGTGAATCACTGAATTCCAGGGTGGAAACGCAGGAATGCGTTTTCTCTGGAGCAATGTGGGCTGGGGAAGGAGGGTCAGTAGGATTGGCCTTCAGAGAGCCTGCGAGTTCCTGTGATGGTTAGTTTTTATCAGCTTGACACAAGCGAAACTCATCTGGAAAGAGGGAACCTCGGTGGTAAAAATACCCTGTCAGACTAACCTAGCGACAAGGGTGTCAGGGCTTTTTTCTTGTTTAAGATCTATGTGCAAGAGCCCAGCCCATTGTGGGCGGTTCCACCACACGGCTTCCAACTTCCCCTACCAGGAAGGTGGTCCCGGGTTGTATAACCTCAGCCAGCCTTGGAGAGTAAGCGAGGAAGTAGCTGTCCTCCGAGCCCTCTGCTTCAACCCCAGCCTGGATTTCCATCATTAATGGACTGTGATGTGGAAACATAGGTCAAATACAGGCTTCCCTCCCGAGTTGCCTTGGTCATGGCGTTTGTCACAGCAGTTCCTCAACCTTGCCTCTGCTCTAAAATGGGGTTGCTTGTACCACGGGGAAATGGGTTTGTGGAATGCAGCTACCAGAACTGTTGAGGACAGCAGCAGGCTCGGAGGGGGTGGGGGTGGGGTGCAAGGGATGGGGGTGGGGAATGCCTTACAAGGAGGCTAGGCTCCTCAGGACTGAACTTGGGGGTCTGTCTCCCCTTCCTTAGTCCATTCTCCTCGGACATATGATTTTCGTAGCTGAGGATCGGTTCAGTCATGGCCTTTCTTCATTAATTGTTGTTATAATATATATATATATATATACATATATTTGTGTGTGTGTAACAATAATCAGTACATACAATCATGCATACATATATGTATGTAACAATAATGATAAAGAAAGAAGCTTGGTATGCTTTATGTTTTGAATGATGTCTTCTGTGGTCATTGTTCACAGTATTGATACAGACTTGGGATTTTCTCTATGAGAACAGAATGGGGAGCACAATTAAGGGAGGAGCCTGGTAGCATGGGAGGGTTGTGGTCAATAGAGGACTATTAAAAGGATGCTGGGAGGAGAGGAGGAAGAATGGCCATGGCACAGCACCTCTGTTCCCCTCACAAGCCATGGCAGTGTGCTGGCCAAGACTGGAAGAGAGACTTCAACATGGTGGCCATAGACCTGCAGCTTCCCAGCTTTCACTGAAGAGGTCACTTGTCCTCTGGGTGGTGAGGGTTGTGCAGGCTTAGCAGGGTCTTGGCATATTGTTCTGCTCTGAAGAAATACTCATCCCTGCCCCTTCCTTCTCCAAATAAACTAAAGCAAGAATAATAGTGCGTGCTCTAGAGGCCATTGGAATCTTGAGTACCCAGAATACTTGGCATGTAGCCGGCATGTAGGAAGTTACTATGCTACTGTTGTTGCCCCTTCCTTATCTTGGCAGACACTGATGAGGTGGGGAGGGAAGTGTGGTGGAGGATGAGGAGCTGGGTGGGATGATTAGTGGGGGTAACTTATCTATGGCAATGGTTTCCTCATAAAGCACCAGCCTCCAAATGAGAGGCGTGTTCTGTATGATAGTGGACCTCTATCCAGCTGTGCTGTCAGAAGGCCCAAGAGACTGAGAAAACTTGGGCCAGAGAAAAAAGAAGAAAACAAATGGAGAAAACCCACAGATCTAAAATTGCCTTAAGGATTTGTCTTTAACTCATGACTGCATGAGTCCCCTACAGGGGGCTACTGTTGCTCTAACTGACCTGTTGTCTTTATGACTATAGTAGTATGGCTTTGATAATTGCCTGAGGGTGATCTTATTCACCAAGTAGCTTGGGAGCGATGGGACTTTATAAGCCCTGCACTAGGCAGCCATGCTCAAAATATCCGAACAGATGAATGAATAAACAAATGAAAATAAGTCCGAGAACTTTTTGAAGTTGTGTGTGTGTGTGTTTTAAATAGGAGTATAAAGTTTTGTGTGTGTGTGTGTGTTTTAAGTAGGAGTATGAAGGCAGAGAAAAATAACTAATGTGCTTAAACATTTGCAGAGGACTGAAGCTTTCATGTAGGAGGCACCCTGGTGGATAACCCCATGGCTTTCCAGTCACATAACACAGCCTATGACTAAAGTCATTTATTTTATTTTATTTTTTCATTTCAGGAATCATACCCAACTCATAATAAGCACGATAAGTACCTGAAGGGCTAGCCTTAGCACACAAATGGGGTATGGAAAAGTGCTTAGCAATAGCCGTTGGTATTGCATTATGTTTATCAGTCCTCCCATGGACCATGACTACACATGGAAAATGAAGGTCACAGATGGGTGTCCCCAGTTCCGAACCAGGCCTGTCCGTTAGCAGAGGCTCTTTAGACAACCAGGCCATGTGTATGAAGTGCAGTCAGCCTCATGTGGTTTTCTCTTATTACTTAAAACTGTAAGATTTTTTCTTTTCTTTTTAAGATTTAATTTCATGACCTCTCTCTTCCCTCCCCTCCCTCTAAGCCCTCTCATATACCCATCCTTGCTCTTTTTCAAATTCATGGCCTTTTTTTCATTAATTTCAGTCACATGCATATATGTATATACATAGACATTCCTAAATATAACCTGCTCAGTCTGTATAATGTTACTCGTAAAGGAAAAATAAAACCTGCAAAATCATAATTTATGTGCCTTTTGAGTGCAGGTGTTTTATCATCTAGATAAATCTTCCATGCATCTATGTTAAACCACTTTGGGCTGTCAGAGCTCTTAAATAAAGTGGCTTGTCCTGACCAGTGTCTGTCTCTGCTCATTTATCACCGCTCCCTAGTAAAGATGGACAGATCCCATTTCACAGGGCAGGCCCTAGGCCAGCAGCTCCCACCCCTTGCATTAGCCAGGCAGCCCCTGAATGGGGTGGTGGTTAACAAGTCACAGTGGAGACCACCTCCCCTCGTAGGTGGGCATTTTTCTTTCTTTGTCCCTCTGTGGTGCTGGGGATTGAACCCATGACCTCATGCATCCTAGGCAAAGGGTCTTCCACTGATCTGCATTCCCAGTCTCAGATAGCCAGGCATTCCCTGGCAGTCTTAAGTTCTCTGAGGTGATGGGTTTCAGGGTACAAGTGCCTGGCTTGAAGGTGTGTCCACATCATCCGGAAGTCATAACTGTCTGGTCTTGCCATCCAGAGGTGCCATCTCTGGGCCTGGCCTCTTGCCCAGGGAAGCCAGCTCTGTTCCTTGCTGCCCCGCCTCTGGCCACAGCTACCCCTGAAATCTTGACTCACAGCAGCTGTTGAGGCACAGCTGTAGCAAATGAGCCTTTCTCCGTCATCTCCTCTGACTTCATGTGGTGGGATGCCTGGCTGCAGGCCCCAGTGCCGCTTCCATTGCCTGGAGCTCTTCCACAACTGTGGGACCAAACGTTCCTGGGTCCTAGCACTGACCTGGTCTGTTGTCCTGCCTGCCTGTATCATTTCCTCACACAGATACCTCAGCCAGGGTCCTAGGGATTTGAGTGGGGACTCAGACATGGCTGTCTTGACCCACATGAAACCTGGACACAGACATGGGCATATAAGCAGATACACGGCAGCAAATCGTCAAGGTGGGGTCCCAGGACAGCGGGTGAAAGTGGGCCTGCAAATACTGTTGGTTGGAGGCTAATGAATGCTCATGCCATCACACACCTTCGAAGACCACTGCAGATCACTTTTGTAAAAATTCTGGTGAACTTACCGAGAAGTACACTTTTAAAATGGTGGGCCTCCAGCTTCCAAGCAGAAGAGTAGGTCTCATGCTCGCTGCTAGTGTTTACTATGCAGTTCCTGGTTGCATGTTGTCTCAGGTGTCATTACTGCCCATCTCAGGCTCCATCAAGGTCACAGCTGGCCCTGACTCAACTAAGGGCATATCTGGTGAGGTGAGTGCTGGACCCCTCTTCCTTTTGAGGGACAGAGTGCCCAGAGGGCTTGTTTTATCCTATGCCTAGGCCTACCAGGCTGAAGGCTCACATAAATGTTAACATTTGACGGCCAAGGCCTGTCACCTCAGAGAGGGAAGGGCAACAGTACCTGCTGCTGACCCCCAGGGTGGGCCTTGTTTATCTGCACCTGTGTACGCTGGCTAGGCTAGTGGTATCAGGGTAAGCCTGGTCTTCCTAGAGTAGTCACTTGTGAGGGACACCATGTCTACCTTCTACGGGTAAGCCATGATCCAAATGCCTATGGAAAACATTCTCTCTCTATGCCTGAATATTATCAGACTAACATAATTTGCTTGGCTACGGATGTTGACAAATGGCAACCTTATTTAGAGAGCTGAGCTGCCTACTTCCCCAGAGCAAAGGACAGAGGCACGGGAGGCTCCGACCCCTCCTGGTAGGGAGTGTTTGACTGCCACCCAGGCCAGCGGGGCAGGCCTGGATTCCCAGGGCACAGCTTTAATAGGATTGTAATCGTGTGGCTCATGGCCATGGAGCAAAGAAATAGCTCTGGCAATCTCCCTTCCATAAAGGCTGACACGCAGGAGGTATTTATGCCTCCTGAAAGTGCATGTTAAGTGGTAGATATTT